GAGAAGAGAAGAAGAGAAGAAGAAGAAGGAAAAAAGGAGGCAGCGGGCAAGAAATAAGAAGAGCAGCGACCAAAAGGGCGGGCGGCTGAAGGCCTCGTTCCCAAGTGGGACTAGCGGCAGCCACAGTCAGCGCCAAGCTGGGCGGGCCTGCGCTGGAGAGCGGTGATTGGCGGGTTTGGGACCTGACTAGACTTGTTTTGGAACCACGTCGGCGCGAGGTGCTGAGGGAAGGCGCAGGGGGGGTGAAGCAAACACGCCAGGCACAGAACACACGAAAACCAGCCTGGTTTAAATACGGGCCCCACTGCTTCCGACTTGGCCGCCGATGACTCGCTGATTCCCCCGTTTCAGATACGCGCCATGCCCCTTCCGGCAGTCCGTTGTACGCAATGACGGCGGCTTACGTCGACACAAGGGTCGTACCTGCCCAGAAAACCCGGGCACGTCGCGCCTTCCACAGCGGTGAATAGCCGTGTTGTGGCTCGTATGGCCAGTGGGCCCCCCGCCCCGCCAATCATCAGCGCATCATCGAGTCGAGAATCACAGTGCGACGCCCCCGAAGGCCCCCGGAGGCCCCCCGGCGGTCCCTGGAGTCCTCTGCATCATTTAGGCCTGGGCCCCCCGATCTGCCCTCCAATTCCCACCGGGCAAGGCGGCGATGAGGGTACATTGGGCCTAGATCTTGGGCACCGCTCAGGTCCAAACTCCACTGCAGGCGTCTCTCCCAGATTCTCGTTCATCCAGGCCACCCAGGATTCACACATCAACGCACAGCAGGGCAGAGAAGAATTGTCCGTTCCCCACGTGGCGAAACAACTGTCCATCATCGGCTTGAAACATTAGAAAAAAAGAATAAAAAAATCCATGTCTGTCGCCGCCCTTTGACTTATCGCCCTTGGGCTGGCAACTTCCGGAAATTTCTTTGACTTGCAGAAGACCTCTCTCATTTGACCGACAGACAATTCTTGGACACAGGGTTGCATCCGCCCTGCTCCGTTTGGCTTCTCGACAAACAGGAATAAAAAAAAATCACTCGTTTTTTTTTCCCTTTCATTTTCCAAGCAACAAGGAAAAAGACACAAGTCAACTTTTTGGTTCATCCAACTTTCTGGGAGTTTCAACCGGAATGGAGGGACATGGTTCTGGTGATGGCCATTGGCCTCCCACTTGCTGATCAGCTTTGTGCCTGGCAGGACTATGTCCCCTCTTCATCCCACACACACACACATCTCTTTATCAATATCCAGGACTCTGAGAAATGCGCGCAGAAGTCACCATTAATGGCCATCCTCTCCCCCTCACTCCTGAGAACAAAATCCACGCATCAAATGGAGTCTCTACCATTCAACAATCACAGTTGTGGTTTCAACCACACCAGAACCCCCTCCATTGTAATGTGTGCCCATAGAGATTGAACTGCCTGGTAGATCAGTTCCGTACTGCATTCAAGCTGTGAATAGTTGATGCCATGATCGCACGCTGTGCCCTTTTCTCTCTCGGCGCATCCGCTCATGTAATCGCCCCTTACCAGACTAGGATATAATCACTACATCCTCTCAACGTCAAACCTTTTCTCGTCGCTTCACCTCTTTTCTTCCTGATCAAACAAACAAGCTCGATATCAATCATATGGTATTCATGGTCCCTTGGGGACAGCAGAAAATCCATCTAGCAGGCCTCTAGATACAGTCAGGACATACAAGTACAGTGAAGACAATCTGCATGCCACCGGGCCAGATACAGCATCCTTGATGGAAAAGGTAAAAAGACACGAAGATAACGCAACAGATAATAAGGTGACGCGAAAAGAGAATCCCGTTTACCGAACCGAACCCCACCGCATGGAATTGACAACGCCAAATGGGAAACAGATGTACCTCCGGAAAAACGTGTTTCGAACCGGGCGCCAGACGTCATTCGTGAAAAAGAAAAAGAAAAAAAGAGCTTGAATGGGGGATATTTGTACCGAAGAGAAGACGAAAAAGATATGAGCTGACTGGGACTCCGTTTAGAACCAATCTCCGTGGTCTTTCATGGCCTCGGCGACCTTGATGAAACCGGCGATGTTGCTACCAATAACCAATGATGGCAACTGGTCCTCACTCAGGCTGGTATAATTCTCCGAGGTCTTGACACCGGTCTCGAAGCAGGTTTTCATGATATCCTTCAATTTCTGGTCGACCTCCTCCGCAGTCCAGGTCAAACGCTGACTGTTCTGCGCCATCTCGAGACCGCTGACAGCGACACCGCCGGCGTTGGCGGCTTTGCCAGGCGCATACCAGGCCGCACCTCCCTTCTTGTGCAATTGACGGTGGGCTTCAAAGTGCTCAATGGCGGAAAGCGTGCAACCCATGTTGGATCCTTCAGCAATGTACTTGCACCCGTTATCGATCAAACCAATTGCTTCTGGGCCGGACACTTCGTTCTGAGTAGCACAAGGAAGCGCAACGTCAACCTTGCCAGCGTGCAACCAGGGACGGGCACCTTCAATGTACACGCATCGATCCTTGAAGTTGGGGGCGTCAGCAAGGACGGAAAGCTGCTTGCGCTGATCCTTCAATTCCTGGATTTCGTAAATCTCCTTGGGAGTGATGGAGTCGCCTTCGTTTCGGACAATGAGCGAGCCCTTGCTATCAGAGAGGGAGATGACAGTGCCGCCGAATTCAATCACCTTGAGGGCAGCATACTGTGCGACGTTGCCGGAGCGGGAGATAGCAACACGCTTACCCTTGAAAGATTCCTGGCCGTTGGTGGG